CATGTTGTGCTCTGTGATGTTGATTCGTGATGATTGCAGTGATCTGGTAATGTACAAGAAATTTATTGAACGATGCTCTTCTTAATTGTTGACGAACAAACACACCTGAAATTGAATGTTCACATCAAGGTTTATAGGCAACTAAAGTAAAATTTGTGGCTTTTGGTTTGGTATATGAACGATTGTATTTATACGAATTTATAGAAATACCTACAAAAATGGCTAAATATCTCGAATCGTCCGGAACAGAGTAAAAACAAAATACCTGATTTGATCGGAGTGGCCAAGTTTAAATGCAGGATAAATTGGGAGAACATCAATCATGCAGTCTTTATATGTGACGAAGTTTTTGTATCTGTGCGTGTTTCTATGTCTGTCTGCCTGTCTGTCTGCTTGCATGTGTACGCATCTCTCTGTCCGTTTGTGTGTGTGTGCTTTTATGTGTGCGTATCTGTCTGTGTGTGATATGATGTATACGTGGTGTGTGTGTGTGTGTGCATGAGTTATTTATAAAATTATCTAATAATTTATTCTTTCCTATTAATAATTAACGATAAAAATTGATAAAAACTGGTGAAACGTGAATGTAAGCGCCACAACATGGTGTCATATAGCGATTAGGTCGGATCAGGTTTTACAATGCTAACAATTTTTATTAATCGGAATGGCTGATAATTTTTTATGATGATCTTATAATTAAATATTTTATTAGAGATGAAATAAATCTGACTTTCAAGTGTCTCTCATAAATGTGAAGCGCCATATAAGGCGTTGTTGTTTTTAATTCAGATCTCTTCAGCCCTCAAGATGTATTATTAAGATTGAGAGTCAAAGACATAAATGCCACCCAGGCCGTGTGATGTGACGATGTGATAATGTTTTGATGTAATGAGGTGATGATGTGTTGTGATTATAAAATCCTCAGTAACTGTATTACTATGAAGATATGATATGATTTACTCACTTTGCTCATTGAGGTAAAAACATTAATCTTCTGCACTCTGGTCATTGTCAACCACATATGACTGAAAGTGTTATTCATGTATTTAAGATATGATACCAAAAATTAAAAATGATGTTATCTATAAAATTTAAACCGACTTTCATGGTCTGAGATTGAAAATTTAAATTTGGTACCGCTATAAAAGAAAAGAATTGTATAGGATGTGTAATTATGTTTGCGTATCCAAGTTTACACGTTGTAAAACGTATGGAGCATCAAGTTATCCCATCCTGTGGAACAATGAATAAAGATGGGCGGCATATGGCTTGAGAGGAAGGAAGAAGAAAAATTTTATTACTCTGCTAATTTATTTAGGCTGTCTGAATGCCAGCCTCTTGAGTTGTTCGCCGCTGTGAATATGATCGGGCGAATTTGCTGAAAAAATTTGAATGTTTCAATTGGACAATGTAACAAAACGTGTAGCTACATATAAGCATGTGTTTAATTTATGTGAAATTTCAATAAAATGTACGTTATAGATCAAATGAAAATGTTTCTTTGTATGTGTTTGTAGGACAATGCATCATTCATATTGTTATAACCGACCCCTTGAACTTGTAGGGTATGGTTTATACGCGGATTCTTGATTCCTAAACAGACTTATTTTAGATGACTTTATTAGAAAGAAAACAGAGCTGGCAATTGCCGTAATCGATCACTCGTTCGTTCGATCGTTAAAATCGTTGGAATACAAAACAATAATTAATCAACAGTTAAATCACAGGATTAAAACTAATCGTCAATAATTAAGCTCTTCTCGTCAGATGTTTCTTGACCGTAAATCCTAAGTATCCACTTCTCGGAAGATTATCGTAATTCACTCGCAGACCGCGTGTAGAATTCTTCGTGACTAACTTCTCCTTGGGCGTTATCGCTAATTTGTTTGCAGTACGCACACAAAATATCTCTGCAATAATAGGACTGCCTGAAACTTCTTCTGACTTCTTCGTAATTCTCGTCGTTCGTTGCTATTTCGTGCACTCCTCTCTCTGTATCTCTCTTCTTTTTCTATTCTCCCTTTCTCTTTCCTTATCGTTCTTGTTGTCGGTCTATTTATACCTCGCTTTCTTTTACAATCATCGACATTTTACAATACGGTTTTCATTGGCTCCGCCTCTTATTTAAATTATCAAGCGCTTCACTTTAATTTCTAATTACCAATTCTTATCTTGCCTTCACGTCTGTAACAATATCATAAAACATAAAAGGTGTGTGTTTGTTATACACGCTTTAAAATTCATTTGAATGAACTAAAGTGTTTTTAAAACTCTTCATAAGCAGGTATACATACACACACATACACGCACGCACACACAACACACACACACATATATATATATATATATGTGTGTGTGTGTGTATGTGTGTGTGTATGTATGTTAATATATAAGTAGCACGTATATATGCTTACCTATGCCTTTCTGAAGAGCATCTTAATCACAATTTATCTTGTTAAACCACTCCAGACATATTTTTAAACTCAGCAGACATAACGAGTTCTTTATAATTTCAATTTAATTTGGCGGTTTGTGAATCTTTTGATATGAAGATGTAACAACTCCTTCCTTGTTTAAAAGGATTATGTTGCACTATTTTATATTAGTGTTTGCCACTCTGTCGCTTTGGAGTTTAATTATTTGGTAAAAAAAATAATGATGCATAACTTATTTTGAATTTTTTTAACGATACAACGAATTCTAGTTAGAACTCCAGCTTGATCATAAATATATAATATCGAATGGCCTGGTTTACATTTCGTTCAATGGATTGTTTGCTGAACTTTCTGTTCACTATGCAAACAAGAACTTTCTAGAAGCAACTTTAGTCTGAGAAATATTTTTTTCTTCTGAAGATTTACTTTCCATTGATTTTGAAGATGGTGGGAGAACCGATGTCTTGTTTAGGAATGCATGAGAGTTGAACGGAATCAATCGTAAATAAGGATAACGCAGAGATATTCAATGCAACAATTTCTCATATAAATCATCGCTAACGATACGGCCACCAATCTAACCATTTTTTTGTTTGGTCTGTCTACTGTTTCTCTCCTTTCTCTCTCTCCCTTTCTCTTCTCTCTCTCTTTCTCTCTCTCTCTCTCTCTCTCTTTCTCTCTCTTTCTCTCTGTGTTTGGTGTATTGGTGTATGTGTTTTATTTGTTGTTAGATTATGTTTTATGATAAATCGAGTATACTGATTTATAATCATAAATTTTTTTGATTTACTATCATGTGAATGTTCAGTTAGTTTGCATTTTTGTTAAGGGTAATTTTTATAAAGGCTTGTATATTGGAAGGATAAACTTTAAATTAATTTACTTTATAAACTTGCTGTAATAAAAACAAACTTTTAAATCAAATTCGAAATAAATGCTTGATAAATCGTTTGATTATTTTCTAAGTGAAGTTACAATAAATAAACTTCTAATTTGTTTAGAAATTAACCGAACTCCAATCTAATCGAACTAGTTAATGACAAATTGCCTGACGTTCATACTAATCGAGTAGGCACACACACACACAACACACACACACACACAACGTAAACACGTATAACACACACACACGTAAACACGCACAACACACAAACATGCAAACACACACAAACACACAAACAAACGAGTTGTTGAAACGAACACATTACTTAGAACTTTATAAACGACTCAGTTGTTTTTTTATTCAAAACTTTGATGTTCTTCATCGTCAGGGAATCTTTCATCGTGAAATTCAGCATTAAAAACGAGCATGTAGTTAGACTTTCTTGTTGGAACATTTATCGTTCTCTTTGGGGTTTGATGTTGTGCCTTTCATATTTTCTGTTGTGGCTTGCTCTTTATTCACATACACGTGAATAAAAATTTATATGTTAAATCTAATTTAATTAAATTGTTATGAATATGCTGATGCAATTTATTTTATAAAATTTTTATAAGTTATTGCGCAAAATGATGAGTTTCAGATTAAGCTAAATTTAGTTTCAATTGCTGCGATCATATATTAACAATATATCTTTCTTTGTATAATAAGACATTAAATATTCCGTGTTTACAAAGATATTAAAATTGATGTGGTTGTACATAAAAATAGTTCTCTCTGTTATTTTTGGCTTTGTTCGTCGGTTTAACTGATTGTGCGTGCTAAGCGAGATAAGAGAATAACACGTGTTGAACTTCGAGACCACCAGCAACAAACATAAGTCTCTACTCTCTACTACAACTTTTACTGCCGTTGCAACATTACTTCAACAACAATAACTACAACAAAAAAGCATATTTTTCAGTATGATCATATTTTATGCTTACATTTTTTTAAAATTTGCTCATCTCGTTTTATGATCGGTTTAAATAAATAAATTAGTATCAATGGATATCAAAAAATATCATTTATATCATTAATTTATCTGTTCAAACCTTAATATGCGTCAGCATCCAAACTTCTGATCACTTTTTCACATCCATAACGAAATCTAATTACATGTGATGTGAAAAATTATTCTACTGAAATGAACTTTGACCCACATAACCAGCTGCGAAACGAGATCAGGTCCTGAGTATCTACTGCGCAAGTATCAGTTCTTCTCCAGTGGCAAGATGGACCTGACCCAGTTTTACTACAACGACTCCTCCTGTTCAGTGCCCTGGTTTTGTGTACAGGCCAGAGGGATCATCAAGAAACATCATGATTCCTGGATCATCAACAGTGCTACTGGTTAGTGTCTGTTCGTTTGTTTGTCTCTCTGTCTGTCTGTTTGCTTGTTTGTTACGTTGGGTTGGTTCGTTTGATTGTGTCATTGTTATTTTTTAATCTTTTATGAGTGGTTTAATTGAAATAACTTAACGTTTGTATTAATTGCAAAACCAAATAACTACCGCTGTAGAGTTTGAATACAACTTGGACTATGCTGTAGTAACTCCTTACACTTCAGAAGCCAGCAGCTACCTAACCAAGAAACTCGTCAGAAACCCAAGATGTCTGCGCTACAACGACACCACGTCACCATGGAAACCAAACGAGAGCCACGTCATCTACCACAATGTTTACGGAAGTGATGGTGAGTGAGTAGTGATGTGCTGAGGTTTTTGAAGGCTGTTGAAAACTTTTTAATACTTTTATAAAATAAGAGTTTTGCATATGTGAAATATAATTCTGGCACTTTGTTCATTTGAGAAAAAAATTATCCTCCCTCAACTTTAGAATATGAGGATTACAACGAAGATAATTTCAGAGATGACGTTTCATCGTCGTCTTCATCATCCAGCAGCATCGATATAATTGACTGCCTTCCGGAAATAGACATCTCCTTCCACGAGCTGCAGCTAGCCAGGATGAAAGAAACGATCAAACAAGTAAACAACAACAACAAAGTAAACACCGACAATCTCAATGACGTCATCAACAACAACACCAAGAACAAATTGCTTCGCGACAACAACGACAATAAAGGCAACAGCAACCAAAAGAAACAAGCAGACAAGTATTCCGCCATGAATTCAGCAGACGAAATGGAGCCATTGAAATATAACTCAGAGATCAATTGTTCTGCCTCATCAAGATATTTATTGTTTGGAGACGTGCACACGAACAAGAGCATGAGACAGTTGCATAGACCAAACTCGTTTCAAGAAGCACTGGCCTCTGCAAAGGTTTGCTTGCAATTAGATATCAGTTTATGTTGAAGTAAATAAATATTGTCATTTGATGTATCTTTTATGTTGAAATGTTTGTTTGTTTGTTTGTTTTATAGTATATATGTATGTTTTTTGATACGCATGGCGTACCTGTGTGTTTGTTTGTATGTGGTGTGTGTGTGGTGTGTGTATGTGTGGTGTGTGTGGTGTGTGTGCGATGTGTGTGTGTACGAGTGCATGTTTTCAAATCTGTAATGATATTTATTGTTGTAGTCTCTATCTACTATGTCGTTTCTAGTGTAGTGATCGTTTCATTCTTCTTTTGCCTCTACGCCAATTAATTTGATAACAATCGAAAATGTCATCTGTGACAATTTAATAACTGCTGCCGATTGTTATCACCATTGTCATCATCATCACCACCATCATCATCACTCTCATTATCATCACCATCATCATTATCATTGTCATCACCACCATCATCTTCATCACCATCATCGTTATCATCATCAGCAGCAGTTGCATCATTGTCATCTTCATTGTCGTTGTAATTATGTAATCTAATCTATCTCATCATTCTATCATTATCTTGTTCACCATTATCACCACAAGTTATCATCATCACATACATACTTTGCCTCATTTTTCTTGCTTTGTTTCATTATTCGACAATAGGAGATATGCAATTCATTGTATATCGATAAATAATTAAGATGGTAAAACAAAACAAATAGATATAAGAAAATTTCATTAGGCTAAAAATTTTAAAATATATTAAAAAACTTCACCGATATATCTATTCTATCAACTGGAGATTATCGAGACATAATTACAATTATTATCATTGGTTAATTAAATTAGTGGTCAGATAAAGAACTTATCGCTCCATATGGTCATTAACACAACGGTCATTTAATAATAATGATTGTGTGACGCAATGTTTATTTAGCAGGATTGAAGAAGGTAATATATGGCCGTGTTGTATATACAATACATAGTTTTATTTATTTATATTTTTTTTGCTAATTCATTTATTTATTCATCTATTCGTTTATTTGTTCGTTTGTTCGTTCATTCGTTTCTTTGTTTGTTCGTTCATTTATTCATTCGTTCATTCATTCATGCATTCATTCATTCATGCATTCATTCATAAAGTCATTCACTCATTCATTTTTGTTTTCAAAAATCTAGCATCTAACAAAAATTTATCTCCATACCTATCTAACTAAACTTAAATGTCTACTCAAATAAATTCACCCCAACCAAACACTGGACAAGAAACATGACCGTTCGCATATCGGTCCAGCGCAGCCGATTCTGATATATCAATATTACAAGGCCATTAGATAAGATAACTTACATCAGGTTCTCTTTCATATTTTACATTACAGCATTTAGACATTTGAACATTTTCAGTTGAATTTCTTTGTCATCATCATCGTCGTCATCTCATCAACGCCATCATCATTCTCGAATATGCTTCATTGATGTTATTATTTCAGCAATAGCCGCTAGCCAGAGGGCTGTTAAATAATTCTTAATGAGAATTGCACATTGAGATAAAAATTTTATAGCCCCATATAATGATTAGCACAGCTCCGTTTTAAGTTTGGCTTGTTACAATGGATTACTTTTCATTATTTTAGATTTATTTAATAAATAACACAAACAATGGGAAATGTTAATCTCCTAAGAAAGAACACAATTGTATGTAATCACTACATCATAGTCACTGTATCCAGTAATACGATAGCTGTTTTAAAAATCGAGGCTAAAATCCTAACAGTGAACGGAGTTAAAGCCGTGAACTCAACTAACTAGCTAAACATTTCATTTCGTAGTTGTCGTGGTTTGTACTGTTTACGGTATTATACATGTCTATTCGTTGATGATGAAAAGAATCGTAAAAAAGGCTGCCTAAAAAAAGCAATTCCTTTAACTAAATTAGTACCCAGCCAAAAATGAAACATCGGTTCAACTAAAATATTTACGACTAAAAAGAGAAGGTTTCACATAGTTTAAATGGCAAAAGAGCTATATACATATTAATCATGACAAGCGATTCTAAATAAATATAAACAAATATATAGATTAATATATAATATTATTATGATATTATAGTGATATCATATTAATGCAACAATACTTATAATTTAACAATACGTTTTTAATGACGTTCTTTTCAACATCATTGAAAATGGATTCTACAAAATCATCATCATCATTCCTATCATAATCGTCATCGTCATTTTCATCATCATCGCCTGTACCATCATCATCATCATCGTTCTCGTCATCATTATCAGTAAACCCATAAAACTTTTCCCCATTTTTTATCTTTATTTCATTTTCTTTCTTCATTTTATCATCATCCTAATTGGGCTCTATGTTTTTACATCCTCATCCCCATCAATTTTATTATTAATTGTTGATGATGTTAATAACGATGACGATGACAACGACGATGATGATGTTAAATTAAGTTATAAACTTTTCAACATAAGCCCCTGTTCAATACAAACAACATAATCCGTGTTTAACTTTTCGTTTCGATTGACTGCTAACTATTTTACAAATCATAAACATCTAAACGATGACAATTGATTTCGTTGAAAAGTACATACATACATACTTTCTTGTTTATATTCCCTTTCAAAGTGACACTAACTGACTGACTGCATCATATAAACATACATACACAGGCTGTTTAACATGCTGACAAATTTATAACTACAGTCTATCATACAATGACTAATCACAGCACCCCCCCCCCCCCCACACACACACACATATATACACACACACAAAGAAACACACATACACACACATACACACACATACACACACAAACACATACAGACACGCCAAACAAACATCAAGTGCAACACACACACACAACACATTCTTTATGAAACAACGCATTCAGAATTTGTTTCCGATTCCGAACACTTATAGTTTTTCTGATTTTGAGGCCCATTAATTTTCATGCATCACTTTTTAATTTCCTCTGTTCATTGTAATTTTTCCGAGTTTGGAAAAGTTTTTGGTTTCAAAATTTTCTTAGAAATAAAAAAATTTCATACTATAATAATATTTTGAAATATTTTTATTTACCTTTTTTATTTTTTTTTAAATGTAATACTTACCGTATTTTCCCCGATATACGACTTGCGCGTGAAATGGTTTCATTGATTTTTTTAAAATTCATTTTTATATCGATCGAGTTTCGTCACGTTTAAAAACTTTGACATCAAACTCGTTGCATAACTGCAGCATTATTAGCCATTAATGAATGAAGCAAAAAAGAATTTTTGAAACACACAAACACGACCAAGCAATTTTATTTGCCCGTCCAATTGTTGCAAAATAACTACCAAAGACAAATAGTTTTTGGCCACTGAACGCTTAGTAATAATAACAACAATGAAAAGTTAGGAGTATATAAGACACAAACACAGGCGTTCTCAACAACTAACTAGATACCAGCGATGGTACGTAGAATGAGGAAAATGTGCCAGTATTTAAGTAAGCCACTTATTATCTGACACTCAGCACACGATACAACAGGACATCATCACATCATTATATCATCACATCATCACATCATTATATCATCACATCAGTACACCATCACCACATCATCACATCATTACATTAGCACATGCGGACATCATGACATGACAAGTTGTTTGAATGAACGCGGGTGGTTGATTGAGGCAATTACATGCCTACTTTAATTCTCATTTTGGATCGGTTTTTGGTTTCATTTAAGTGAATCTGTTTGCTGTGCCATGTGTGGAGGGTGATTTGTGTTGTTGTTATTATTGAACTAATTGAAGCTAAGCGAATGGACGTAGAAAACATTAATAGAAATGCGCTGATTGTTTCAGGACAATTTCTGAACTGTTTAGAGAGAAAACTATTAAATAAAGAACATTAAATAATAAACTTCAACATTATAAATAAACTTGTTAAGGATGAAAATTCAACGTGAACTCATTATTTAACTTTTACACATCCTCGCCCAACAAAACGAGCAGGACAAAGAATGCGAAACATGCCGCCTCATCAACCTGGCTAACCAATTTCGCCCTCCAACTCTCTCTCCTTCCATCTCACCATCTCTCTCCCAGTTCATTCCCGGAAAGTGGATTAGTGAAGATTGCGAAAACAGGCCCTACGGGATTTTCCAGAAAAGGACGATGACATTTTCAGCCACCAAGAGGAAGGAAAAGTTGCAGGCATGGAAGGGTGCACTGGAGATTGTGTTAAACTTTTATGCGGATGAGTTGTGCACTCGTCCCACTCACATCGTGAAGTTGGTCGGAAAGTATGCAGTGGATGTGAACCGCGATGTTTTGAGGATGGTGAATTTAAAAAGGAATGTTAGTGAACAGCTCAACTTGCCAGAACATTCTTGGAATGTTTTTATTGAGGTTTGTCAAAGATATATACTTATTTGAAATATTTTGAAAAATAATTTTTGAAAAACGTGAATAATTTGGTTGATTGCCAAAAAAACAAATGCTCGTTTGAATGACTACAAATCAATGCAGATAAGCAACATGTCTGCCAGCGTCAACGATGACAAAGTGCTTTCGCAGGCCATCTTAGACCACGAATGCTCGTTTCTCATCAATCAAAACACTAGTAACAATAACAACATCAACTACAACAAAAATAACATCAACTACAACAACAACAAACTTCAAAACAACATCAACCTCAAAAAAGAAACAAAAACAGCAGCAGCTGCGGGTTCTTACTTGGGCTGCCCAACATTAAAAGTGATGTTATCCTCCTCCAAATACATTGATACTATGAAACTTGTGGTGAGGAAATCTCTGTCGCCATCACAGCAACATTTGTATTTGCTGGTAGGACAGCCGTCAACAGCTGGTGTGGAGTGGTTAGGGTCTTTGTCATCATCGTCATCTTCTTCGTCGTCATCATCGTCTTCATCATCATCAACATCTAAAATGGTTTCCTCTACTTCACCCTCGTCATCATTTCCTTCGTCGTCAGCACTACCTCCGTGGATGCAAGAGTACGTAAAGAGCATTGAAGTGAGACCAATCGCAACTTCATTTTATCCTCCCCTCACCAGATGCTCCTCATCTCACTCTCACAACTGCCATCATCATCACTTCTCTCAACATCATCTCATTCCCCGTCATCATCACCTTCATCATTCTCACTCACAATTTCCTTCCCACCACCAACAACAACCCTACTCTCAACAACTCCAACTAAAGTTCGTCAAACAGGACAACAACGGCTCACCACACATCAGACCACACTTATTCTTCTTGTTAACAATTTTTTCCCTCTCTGGAAGAATTTTCATATTTTGATATTTTATTTGGTAAATGATTGTAAAAAAACTATTAATCTTATAACATTTTAAAACTATTTGCATTGCATCAATTAACTTTTCAACTTTACACGTTGTGGATGGATTACTTCCAATATTCACACTAGTTTCAACTTCATTATTTTAAAAATGTTTTAGAATAATAATATTCTACAAGCATTATAATAAGAATTTAATCCTTTCTTTATTATTCCTGATATTTCCACAAACGTTGATCAGTTTAATTAATTAAACTTTACTTGTTTAAATGTTATTCGAAGAATATTTGAAAATTTTCGTTGTAACATATTCTGATTGTTAAAACAATAACAGTATTGTCAGTGTGTTGATTGCTATCGACTCTGTAAATACTTTCTAAACTTACTGATATTAAAGTAACTAAATTTTTTGTAACAATCGTTCTCTTTTTTTAGCAGTCTAAACTTTGAATTTTGTTAAAATTTAGCTACATATTGGTAAAATACAACGTGCTGTAATTTTCAATGCTGTCCATTGGATTGATTCTTCAGCTATTGTTAAAATCAATACAATTAATTATCCCAATAAGTTTGTCAATTTTATGTTACATCTGGTACATTTCTAACATATATTACTAACAAAAACATCTGCCACAGATTGCTTTGGCCTGCTATAACGTAAATTTTAATTTGGGTTATATTATTATTATTAATTATAATTATTAATATCGTTGCAGTTATTAATTACTGAGGCACGCTTAACATTGTATTAAATTATGTAAATCAATCAGATTTCTTTCTGTTGATGAGGTTGCTAAATTTGAAGATTATTTCTAATTATCAAAATGTTTGTCTAAATATTTCAACAAAGGAGTGGATCCACCGTACAATATCAAGAAGATGAATGTGTAATAGTATTCCAAACTTCCACTTTCCGTATAGTAAAACATTTCATTTCACTTAGGCAGTCGTAGACCAGAAAAAAATAAAGTTTTTGATTTCAAACAAATATCTACAATATCACCGTCGATAAAGTCAATGAATATTTGTAAACGTCTAATATAATTCGAAATATTTTGACGCGTTTTGAAAATTTTAATTAATTTTAAAAATAGAAAAAAAATCTACTCTACTCTCTGTTCTTACTATATATAACACACACAAAATGCCATACACTTCCATTATTAACATAACTCCGGTCGAATAACGTTTGATGAGGTTTTGTTTTCCATTCTGAGCGTTGTTCTTTCGTCTTTAACAAAACAAACAAATCAGATTTTATGAGGATCATGATCGTTTGATGGTTTACTACTTGAGCGTCTGTTCACCTGTTGCTGCTGTCTTCTCTTTCCATTCACTTGGTGCATACAAATATACTGGGATAAGTTTCAGTTCAATGTTACGCTTCTGCATTACATTCATATACAAAGTATGATTGTAATGTAACTGTCGTTGATTCTTTTTCTACAGTTATGAATTAATACAATTCTTAATCTCATTAATTCTGAAAATTTAAATTAGTTTTTTTATTCATGAACCTATGGTTAGTTTTTGACAATTTATCTGAAAGTTAGTTCATTTAATTTTAAAAGTGGTAGTTGTTTCGATTTTAAGATTTAAAAACTACAAGGATTTATAAAAAAAAAGGTTCATCATCTGCATGTGTTTTTATGTGTCACAAACAAATTTCTATCAAAAAATAAATTTTACAAACTTGAAAAACATTTGTCGTTAAGAGAAAAAAGAACAACTTGTGAAATTCTAAAGAGCAAAATTTTTATATCGATAAAGTAAAAAACTCTGACTGGGTGATAGTTTGAAATATATTTTTTCAGACCTAAAAAATAATAAATTTCCTTTTAACATTAAAATGTAGGTTTCAGATAAATGTCTTGTTTGTTTCAGTTAAAATTTTGCACGCTAAATACGACACAGAATTCAGTTGATATAAAATGGACTATCAACAAAAGACGCTCTTTTCTTGGATGTCTCCATTGGGTTTTTCTTCAAGTTCACCATATTCAAGCTTGCAGCATTTGGAGCATCCTGTTCAATCCTGATATCCTCCACTTTCGTTTTTTTCCTCTTTCGTTTGCATCCCTCCCAAATCCCAAAGAAGAACAAATCCATACCAAATTCTAAAAACTCACAAATGGTCAGGACTGACATTCCCAACCAAAGTCCCAAGATCCCACCACAGTCCGACAGGAACTGAGGTAACTAGAGAGATTTGGATAAAAGTTCGTTATTCATCATTTTGATATGTATGCGTGTGTTTGTGTACGTGTGTGCGCGTGTGTCTGTGTGTGTGCGCGTCCGCATGTGGCTCTAATTATGTTTCTTTAGCATTAATGAAATGATAAAATGAAAATATTTAAAAAAAAATTATTTCTGATGTATTTTTTGGTATTTTATTTCACTTCATATGATGGCTTCTCCTCAATGCGCTCATGGTTGAATTCCTCGTAGTACAGTTCCACCTTAGCTAAGTTCTCCTGGTAAGTGTCTGCAACGGAGTAATTCACCATATCTTGGAACTTCTCGAACAACATGTCCTTCCAAATGTTCGGAAACACCGATATACTAATCACATACATACACTTAGAACAGAGTAAAATTTTCTTCAATCAAAATTTGATTTTTAATGCAGATTAAATTGAAAATTAATTTACAAGATGTTTGAATACGTGGTTAACTTATCACATTTTGAACGTTAGCTGGCCATGCACCAATTGATAAGGTGACAGTGTATGTTGTATCGTTCGTTCATTCATTTATTCATTCATTCAAACCATCCACAAACTATATCTATGAAGAATTTTTCTGACAGCGAACAACGTGCTGATGATGGTTTGATTGTCTTCAATCTGTTAACGATCATCATCACCATCATCATCACCATCATCATCATTGTACTCACTATCACAATCATCATCATAGTAACCACAATCATCATCATCACAACTAATCACTGATAGCAAGAATCTTAAACTCCAACAACATACAGACAAAACTAAAAGTGAAACTGAAAAAAACTAAAAGTGAACTTGAAAAGAACTAAAAGAGAACTTAAACCTTTTCATCGTGCAGAACAAGACAGAGGTCTAGATCACTAAAATTAGTACCGGCACCATTTAAGGAGGAGCCGAACATGAAAAGCTTCGAGCCGGGGATGACAGTTCGAATGATGTTATACAACTCTAGCTGTAGACGACGTTTATTTTGAAAACTAACTCAGACTGTCGATTCTCCTCATAATAGTCTTGTATCTCATCAGTTAGCTGGGTTGTTTTTTTTTAAATTTACTTTATTCTAATCTATTCAACATCATTTCTATCAATTTATATTTCAATATTATTTCTAATTTTTATATAAAAACTGAAATATAAAAACAATTAACAGATAAATAACTAACCAAATTCAATAATTACATTAATAATAAGAATTACAAAAAATAACTCTAGAAACTACTTTCAAAGCCAATGCAGATAATTCATTTGAATTAATTTCCAAAGATGATGGTGTAGAACCTTTCCTAATATTTAATATACTCCTTTCCCCAGATGCACTGACATCTGGTGCGGTTTTTGTCGTTGAGCTATTTTAGCACTACTATTTTTAGAATTACCATTATTATTATCAGTACCTATAGAGGTAGTACCATTATCGTTGTTGGTGTTATTATTTCTGTTATTATTATTATTTATAATATTATTATCATTATTATTATTATTATGAAACGTTTTTTTGGTAATAATTATTATTATTATTATTGAATAATGGCTTGTTATAATTATTGTTATTATTGCAGAAATAATTTTGAATATTGTTAGCGTTATTTATTATTCTTTGATCACGATTGTCATCGACAGTTAAACTTCTATGGTTGCCATTACTGTTCTTGAAGTATCTTTGATCGTTGATGATATTATTATTATTATTATTATAAATTAATTGGTTATTATTGATATTATTGTGAATAATATTTTGGTTATAATAAAAATTATTTCTTGGATAAATTTTATTATTATCATCATAAATAATATTATTATTTATTCGATTAACATTAACATTAGGCATTGGCCTAGTAAATTGATCCTGAAAAAAACCATTAGCATTATTACTATAATTATTATAGTTATAATTACTATTATAATTATTATAGTTATAATTATTGTTATTATTATTAATATAGCCATTGGTCGAATGATTTAATGGTATAAAGTTGTCAAAACGGAGACCAATGTGATGAGGAATGAATGGCTGGTTAGTGTTGTAAAGAATTCTATTACTTTGTTTCTGCCTCTTTGGGTTCGATTCCTCAGTTATGTCACTGAATCCCACGCTATCTTTATCGCGGATATTAGCCCCACGTCTGAAAATAAATAAATAAATATATAAAATATTATTTGATTAATATCATTAGTGCTAGTGGTGATGATTAGTAGTTAGAGTTAGACTATTTATTTTATTACAGGCAGACACAAAAAACAGTTTTACTTTTAGTTTTTACACTCCGACTTTCATGCTAGTCGGCTAGTTGGAAAAATTTGTGGAGATTTATTAAAAAAAAACCCTTACAGTTTGCACGCAATCATTTTCTTTGTCACTAGGGAAGGGCCGACTTCCTAACTCCATTAGGAATTTTTGTGGTATGGAATGAAATGATTCCAAAAAACATTTTTTTAGAGACTCCAAAACTCCAACTGATAGAAATTCGTAGTTTCGTTTAAAAATACCTTTGAAAATTATTTTTAAAAATTTAAAATTCTCACTTCATTTCGCAAACTTGAAACTTTATTCCGATAAACCAGATATATTTATATTTTTATAATAGTATAATTATAATCTGTCCGTCAGAGCGGACGATAAAATAGTCGTAATTTTAATTCTAAACGAGTTTTGCAAAGGGCTTCATTTGAATTTTAAAATTGTCGAAAGATGGCAGTGGGTTTTAAAAATTACCAAAGGCTTTTGGTTTGTTGATTTGATTCAGCGATTGATTAATTGATTCATTTGTTGACTGATTGGTTAGTTGATAGTACAGTATCAAACAGTATCTTATTAAAAAAGTAGTATCATAAAATGAATAAAGATAGCTTTTTTCAAAAATTTAAAAAATTCTCAATTTGATTTCATTGCGATATCGATGATGATGATCGTGACTGAATAATTAAAACACATCATAAAAACTTTAAAGTAGGATGGGTAAATGTTAACAGTGGTTATTTAACTGCCTGTTAGTGAATTACCCTGCATAAAGGTTATATTCAATTCCTATCAAATAAAATTGACTAAATATAGGCAAAACTTAATGAAATAGATAGATAGATAGATAGATAGATAGATAGATAGATAGATAGATAGATAGATAGATAGATAGATAGATAGATAGATAGATAGATAGATAGATAGATAGATAGATAGATAGATAGATAGATAGATAGATAGATGTAGTTATAATACATTTAGAATTGTAAAATTGTGTTTTGGCGTAGCCTCAAATTATTTTGAATTCTCTCAGAAAAGTTTAAACTTTTTACTATATACTAATTATTTCTATCAACAATTTAAAAAAAATTTCAATTAGATTTCATCGCGATATCGATGATGAGGATTGTGACCTGACTGATTAAAAAGTATAAAAGAAATTTTTTAAAATAGAATGGAGAATTTGTTACAAAAATCGTTGGAGGAAATGGCTCATGCTAGCGGTATTCTATTTTTAGTGAAATGTATCCCTTCAACTTCCACATCAAAAGAACAAGCTTATTTTCAAAATCTGGAGAACTGATAGGCATAAAAAGATATTCATTGCAAGATAGTTCAATTAGAGGGTGTGTGTGTTTAAATTATTGGATAGAATTACTTGGCTAATAAAACTTGCTTATATGTTCTATTCTAATTAATTTTTGAATAAAATATTTTTTAAACTCGCTCGCGTTATTTCTTTGATATCAATATTGGGGATATTCGTATATAAAGCGAGCAAAATTTTAATATAAAAGCGTTTATAAATCTACGCATGTTGGCTCAGCTTGGCTCGGCTCGGAATCGGATGTTAAGCAAGGTGTGGTCTCAAACTATTTTGAATTCTCCCCGAAAAATTTGAACTGCGTGCATATATATGTAGCACTAATTAGATAAAAAGCAATATAGCAGATTCAACCAGCCAACCAGAATGTTTCGAAGGCGTTCGTTCGATGACGTCAATTTAGTACGGTTAGCATTGTTGTTAAGACTGTATAATAGTGTACGACATACATTAAATAAGTTTTTTACTGATGTGAATGATTGAAATGATGAGAATGTATGGTTGAAACGAGTATAAATAGGAGCTGAAAAAGCATGAAAATCAGATCAGGCATTCTGCTTCGCTTGAGGCTTGAAGCAGTCTGCCTGATCTCACTTTTTTTTAATTTATTTTATTATATAGAGTTATATATGCTTGTCTGTGGTTTGTATGTTGTATTTTTTTATTTTAGGTGGGTTCTTTAGCGGTTGCTCATACATACATACATCATTTTTGTTTGTGTGGTAGTATTTTGTGTTCTTTTTTACTCTTTTTTCTCTTTCTTCATGAGCCTTGAGTTAAGTTAATGAAATATAGGTAGGTGAGTTAAAAAATTAATTTATTTTATAGGTAGGCTAGGGCATAAGATAATTTAGTTACATAGGTAGGTTAGGGACTTTTTTCTTTTACTTTACTTGGTGGTGTGTATTTTGTTGTTTTTTTGTTGTTTTGTTTCACACCATACATATAACAGGTACGCGGTGGTTCCTGGTTTTATGGGATTTTTATTGATTAAATGGGGTAGTATGCATGGTTATATAGAGTTATATAGAGTTAGAGTTATATAGAGTTAGAGTTATATTAGAGTTATATAGAGTTATATAGAGTTATATAGAGTTATATAGAGTTTCTTTTCTGTTCTTTTCTTTGCCGACCGGTCGGCTCCTTTGCGTTTCTCTATTTTCATTTAAATAAATTAAATAAATAAGATTGTTCCATTCATTTAGGTTCATTCAGGTTCATTCAGGTTCATTCATTCAGGTTGAAGCTTACAGAGGAGTTTATCGTGGAAGATCAGAATGGTTGTGATGTCACGCTACGTTAGTTCATTCAGTTGTAAAGAATGCACGTCTGGTCGGGGTACGTTTTACGGTATCTTTGCGGTTCTTTTCTTTGCCAGTTAGCTGGCTTTTCCGGCTGGCGGGTTTCACCGCGACTCGTTTCTCTATTTTTATTCAAATTAATTAAATAAATAAGATATTTTCATTTCATTCAGGTTGAAGCTTCCAGAGGAGTTCATCATGGAAGATGTCAGGCTACGTTCGTTCATTCAGTGGCAAAGAATACACGCCTGGCTGGGATACGTTTTATTCTTTTTTCTCTGTAATTTAACATTAAGTAAGAATGCTCTCTCACGCTCACACACGCACACACAATTACATTAAGTAGCTATATAGGTAGGTTAGATAGGCATAATTTTAATTGTAGGTAGGATAGATAGGAAGCATCCAACACTAATGTAGTTGAATAGGTAGGCAGCGTAAGTTTATCGCTTCTATTTTTTCTTGCACCCACATTACACGCATCAGCGTTATTACACACACACACAAGTACATACATAAACAAATGTTAGTATTTGAGCGTAATTTTATATTCATTACACATTTTAATTTATTATTACTAAGATTGAGAGTAATTTAATTTCATAGGTAGTTAAGGGCAATAATGTAATTCTAGGAACAATCTTGTAATGTAAATTAAAACGCTGTAAGTTTATCGATAGGTAGGTTAATTATTAAGTTTTACATTATTATTATTATGTTGGAGCCCAAGGCATTACGTAGGTGGTGGGGTGGGTGCCGAAAGGCCAATGAATTGGGCTCTTGAGTTTTGTAATTTTAGGTAAGCTAGGACCGTAATGTAATGGATAGGTAGGTTAAGGCTACGTTGTAACACATACTCATTATTAGATTTAGGGTTTAAGTTTTATGTTATTATTATTAAGTTGGAGCCCAAGGCATTACGTAGGTGGTGGGGTGGGTGCCGATTGGCCAATGAATTGGGCTCTTGAGTTTTGTAATTTTAGGTAAGCTAGGACTTAATTGTAATGAATAGGTAAGTTGAGGGTACGATAGCCGATAGACTCTGAATTTCGAAGTCTCTTGTCAGAGGTAAGCCTTGGTGGCCAGTGGTGAACCGGCAATGGTTTACTATCCGGACGGCAATGGTTTACTATCTGCACGGTAATGATTTATTATGCGGCATGGCCATAGTCTACTACCCGCACGGCTTCCGGACGGCAAATGGTTTACTATCCGCTCAGCAATAGTCTACTATCCGCACGGCAATGGTTTACTATCCGGTGCCCTGGCTGTCGGTGAACCTCTGTGCAAGGAGGGAGAATGAAGGGGGACTTTCGACTATCGTACCATTGACAATTTAATATAGATTAGTTAAGGCAATTGAATAGGTAGATAGGATTATTTTTATTATGCAATTTGAGATGCAAGCACCGCTAAGCTTTCTGATGAGAATTTTCTCAATCTTTCTCCATCCCACGGGCTGTGTTTCAGCATCAATCTCGAGGAGGACTGGCACGATTTTGGAGGACAACGTAGGAACCGGACAGCATTCAACATTCTGCCTTTGTGGATTGGACGACGGTAAGCTTTTTTTACATTTTACTCTCTTTATTATTTTAAGATATTATTTATTTGCCATTATTTTCATTGTATAATTTTTAGGTTCTAAGATTCTAACATTCATTTATTACTACGTTAATAAAAAAAATTTGTCTACAGAATGATGAGAGGTGGGCAGTGGTGGTCTCATGATGATTTACGTATGATGATGGTGGTGTAGAAAGAATCAGCGCGTTGGCTGTTCGACTGACACTCAGAAGTTCGGATGAAATCTTTTGTGCCGACCAGATGATGGTGGTCGGTGCAATGAATTACTGTAACGACAATTTTTGAAGTAAGGTTAATTTCGTTTTTTTATTTTTCTCATTCATTTATTTGTTCATTTTATCACTCAATCTTTCAAATTATTCTTCTATTAATTGACATTAATTTATTCTATTCATTCATTGAATCATTGATTGATTAATTCATTCATTCACTCATTCTTTTAACCAATCATTCAATCCTTCATTTAATAATTTTATCGTTCGTTCCTTTGTTCCTTGATTTACCACTACGTTAATAAAAAAACTTGTCTACAGAACGATGAGAGGTGGGCTGTGGTGGGCGTCAGCACGTTTCAGATGGTGGTCTCATGATGATCGTTCCGATGACAAATCGAAGAAAACAACACAACGTCCGTAGTTAGTGAAGAAGTTTCTAGAGAGTACACACACGCACATTTACACACGCACATTTACACACACATCAATACAACACACACATACACAACATCCATTTTTCGGTGTTGTTGTTATGTTTCTCTTCAACTTGCTATATTCTTTACCGGACTTTAATTTAATTCGTAGGTAAGTTAGGGATTGAGATGAGTTGGACAATCGTAGGTAGGCTAGGGCTTAACATTAGTTAAAAAGTTTCTAACAAAAGAAAATTTAAAAAAAATTAAATTATACAAAAAAAGCAAATTAAAAAGGTTAAAATTTGTAAAATACAATACCCGAAATATGTAAAATTTCTAAAACTTAGAATTGCAGAATTGTAGGTAGGTGAGATGAGTTAATCCTTATAGGTAAGCTAGGGCCCTGAGAGTAATTCAATTGTAGGTAGGTGACTGACTACAATTCTTGCGACTTTTTACTATTTTATGTTGTGTGTTTGTTTTTGTTTCACACCACAACACCAACAAAACATACTACTTTTTTTTCGTTCTCGCTTAAATTTGACTGTTTTGAACAATTTTTTTAATATTATCTATTTATTCATTTTTTAAATGTTGACTGATTTTTAGTTTTTTTTTAATTTGGTTATATAATTTTTCGTATTTCTTGATTTTCTTTGTATATATGCATGTATAAATAATTCTATTTGGTATGTTGATTTAGCCATTATGATATGTTGTGAATTGTTCTTAATAAATGTTCACGCTACATTATATTTTTATTCGTCGTCGCCTTATATTATACTTTTTTGAACAGTCTTTCTAATAATGTTTATTTATTTTTGTAAAATGTTGACTGGTTTCTAATTTAGGTAATTTACATTTTAAAATTTTGATTTTCAGTCATTTTTCATTTTTGAACTTGGATATCAAATAAAAGCAACTGTCGTGTTTTTCTTTCCATACTAAAATCTAAAATCTCGAAATTGTTTGTAGATAGGGGAGATGGGGGCACATTGATCTGTTTTGAGGTTTTTTTGTAACAACAGTGAAACTAACCAAAAAGTGAATATTAATATTTGTGCAATTTACAGAGGAACATTCATTTAATGTATTAAGTTCAGTTTCAATTGTATAATACAAGAAATTTTTAAAAAAATTTAACTTTGGTACAACCCCCTACAAAGGATCAAAGCACCCCATATACGGGGTACCATGATCCCTCCCATGGGGTACATTGATCCTAGGTATAAATCAATATGATTTGATGTTCATTTGCCTCCAAAAAACTCGTTAAAACACATTGGATATAATAATTCATAATTTTTAATAAAAATTAACATTAATTAAGATCTTTAAAAATTGTCAAATCAACGGGAAAAACCAAGTGACGACTGACTCGAGCAGTCCCACCATGCTGAATT